ATACCTATCTTTTCATGGTGTTGTGCGCCTCTTCCTCCAAAACCAGGCTATCAATTGCAAATGTTTGAGCCAAACCAAACATCCTTATCAGCACAAAAGCCATTCTTCGTGGCAAGACCGTCTAAAAAAATATCTCCAATATTCGATGTCTCGTTACGGTCTCGCCTTCGATGTAAACTCTCTAAACGACCGTTCCAGCAAACAATGACAAGCAAGCTGATGGCTGCGCGAACGATGCCCAGTTCGGTGTGTGATATCAAAAACGGACTGGCCGTGTTTGATGTCTGTTCCCGCCTAGGGCTTTGGGGTATAAAAGACTCGTTTCTGCCCTTCGGAGTCTGCCCTTCCTGTATCCCACTCGACAGAGTGCATTCTCCAAAACTCGACACCTTTTGTCCCCATGTCCGTCTCTTCGGAGTGACCAAAATGTGAAACAATACTGATGATGGTTGTTGCGGCTCCTCAAAATTCAACGAAACATATATAATGAGATCCGGGCTGGCAGCTGGAACAATGGATAGACGAAAAATGTCTGGCGGCTCGCTTTCGCTGTTGAGATATAAAACTCCTTCTTTCCATTACTTCTTTGTAGTTGAAAAGCAGCAGCCAACTTGTAATGTTCAAAATCATTCGTCCAACAGCTCATGCTGTCTCCTGGGGTTCGTCCAAAAAGAAGATGGGCACGAACGCATGACTCCTCCGCCTGGGATTCGCCAAAATACACTATGAAAAGAAAGGATGACATGAAAAGAATTTGCCTCTTAAACATGCCTTGGGAGAATTGAGATCATTGATTCAGAAAGCCTGTATGCTACTACGTTCATCAGTACCCTGATGATGATCAGCATCATCGCGATGCCGTCCATACCCTCCTCATACCCACATATTCCCATCGTCCAGATAGAGCTTATCTCATATCCATTGAATTGAACCGACCATAATCGTAATCTACACAAAATGTACAGTATCCCACGCCCACCCCACTACGCATGCGCCGCCACACCCCCCATAGGCCTCATCCCCTGCGGATTATTCGGCGCACTGGGCTGAATCTCCTGCACCGCCTCATCGTACTCCGCGGTACTCATTTCCGCGGCATCCCCCAGCCCCTCATCCTGCTGCCCACTAAACATCTGCGCGCGCATACTCTGCTCGTCCTCGATCTGCTGGGCAGCCCACGCCTTCCAGTTCTCCCACGTGCGGTCTTCGAGCTCCATTCCGATTTCAAGCGGCCCTTTGCCGAAGTAGGCGCCGACGTGCAGGGCTTCTTCTTTGGCGATGCGGGAACGGATTTCGGAGAGGTGGCGGTGTTGGTAGAATTCTCGGCGGGCGAGGTCGTAGGCGGTGGCTTTTGAGAGGGAGGCGTGCTTCATTAGCCACATTTGGCGTTGGACGACGCTGGGCGGGTGTTAGTATGGGGTTGGTGTGGTGTGGTGGATGTGGGTTGGAGGTACCTTTCACCATCTAATTGCTTCCCCGGCTGGACAATCTTGCTCCAGTCGTATTTCTTGGAGTCGTTCCCGCTATCTTCTACGACTAGCCGCGGCCGTGCCAGTTCCCATGGATGGTCGCCGAAGAACTCTGAACGCAGCTTGTCTTCTGGGTATGCGATGGGTAGGGGTTGGAATAGTTTGCTGGCTTTCCGTGCCTTTCGCATCTTGGGTATGCGCAGGACGGGGCGGGCGAGCGTCTCGCCGGGCGGTATGTTGCCGACGACGTCGTACCATTGCGGTAGGTTGGGTTCTCGTTTCGAGTCGAAGAGGGCTTTCGCGGTCTGGCGCACCCGCATCGGGCGGAAGTCGTAGCGGCCCATGGCGGGCGGTGATTGATTTTATATAATCAGATATGTTATCGCATCGGCGGGGGTTCCGGGGGGAGACGGAGGGTGTAGCAGCAGGTCGGGCGGCGCAATTGGTCGTGTCGTGGTGTCGTGGATATTGGGGTTCTTGCCCGCAAAGTCCGCAACTCCGCCAAGACTTCGCGACGCCGAAATCTTTGGAGAGTATGACCGCGACACTCGGCACCCGCCACAATTATCCTCCCACCCAGGCAGCTCTTCGCTGAGCTCCCCGTATTCAATTGCACCCGAAACCCCCCAAATGGACACCGTCTGAACTGGCTCCCTCTGACACAATGCTCGACCTCTCATGTCCCTCTTCCGCACCCTCGACCGGACCTCTGCAGTCTCCAATACCGCCCATGCTCGCCCCTTCCTCACCTTCCTGTACCCGAATTCCGAGAAGAATACACCAAAGAGGAGGTTCAGCAAGAAGGCGGTAGACAATGCCCCGTTATCCGATAGGCCGTCTGCTCGCATGGACACTTTCTTCATCCAGGCATTGGTGCGGGCCGGGTCGTGCCCAAAGCATGCGAAACATATACATACCCCGCGCGACGTAGCATCGCCGACACCGATACACCAGACATCACGCAGGAAGAGCACGTGGTCGAAGTCGGAGAAGAAGTTGGATATTTTCCCCGAGCGCAAAGGGCCGCTCAAGAAAGTCAAAAACTTCGCCGAGAAGGAACTGCAGGCCTTGGTGGATTACTATGGCATGGAAATTGATACCCGGCCTGAAGCAGATGTTCCTGACGAAGGGAAGCTGGTTTGGAATGTTGGCGATGACCACGAGCCCTGGCCTCTACGCGAGCCAGCAGATGCGTTGCATATCAAGAAGTTGGAGGATCTGCTGAAGGATGATGAGTCGCCGCACGATGAGGTCTTTGATACTTATAAGAAGCTGCAGTCGCCAGGAGTTGTGTACCTTACTACCATGACTATTCGAGCGCTACTGCACCATCTCGCCATAGTCGAACGCCCCACACCCATCGCAGCGCAACGGTTCCTCTCGGTCCTAGACGATATGAAGACGGCGCATATACACATAGTCCGCTCAGAGTGGACATCAGCCATACATCTGACTGGACGCGCCATGGGAACAGTGTCCGACGATGACCTACAAAACACCCTCCGCATCTGGCAGGACATGGAGCACCGGGCCGGTCTAAAAGGTGGATATGTCACATTCAACGTGCTCTTCAACATTGCTGTCAAGGCGGGCAAGTACACACTAGCCGAGACCTTCATGAAAGAGATGCAAGCCCGAAAGCTGCCCATGCACCGACACTACCGTGTAGCACTCCTCTACTACTACGGCGTTCTACAAAACGGAGATGCCGTGCGAAAAGCATATCTCGACCTCGTCTCAGCCGGCGACATCGTAGACACCGTCGTCATGAACGCCGTGATAGCATCCCTAATGCGCGCCGGCGAGCCCTCAGCCGCCGAACACGTCTTCGAGCGCATGAAGCGCCTGCACGCCCAACGCAGCGCCACAGCCCGCGGCCACGTCTTCTTCAACCGCACCTGGCGCGACCGCCGCGTGCTCGGCATGAAGTTCCGCGACGAAGCGCGGCGCCTAAAGAAAGAAGGCGGAGACGAAGAGCTAAAGCAGCTACAAGACCTCGCGCCCATCGGCCCCGATTCACGCACTTATGGGATCTTGATACGCCATCATGCAGCTGTAGCCGGTAACATCGACCGCGTCAACGAGCTTTTGCAGGAAATGAAATACAACTCCGTGTCTCTCGACGGCACAATCTTCATCGTCATATTCCACGGTTTCAACTCTTTCGGCGGCGTTAGATACTCCTCCTGGACACTTTCCCGCCTCGAGAAGATTTGGAACCAGTATCTCAATGCGCTAAACAGCGATAATATGGAGCGTACCTGGCTGTCTAGTCTGGCTGTCATAGCGGCGCTCCGTGCATTTGGGCGATGCGCATCCCCCGAACGCATACTCAAGGCGTGGGAAGAGATTCGCGCGTTGTGGCACCCCGATGAACGGGAACTGGAGGCTGCGTTGGCGGTGCTGAGGAAACTTGTGCCGAGTCGGTTGGAGGGGGGGTTGGATGACGTGGCTAGACCGGGGTTCTTTGACGGGAGGAGGCCGTCTTGAGACTTATTTGTTCTGTATCAACAGTTGTGTCGTTAATGTAAGACGCGTTCTGTATCACTGTTCTCTTTTTGGCCTGTAAATATATCCGCTGCTATCCAGACTACGAGGCACGTGTATGTGCATTTGGAATATGTCTCCGTATACCACGCTGGATTTGCGGCGGCATAAACGGAGATGGCTGTTTAGTGTATCATCATTATTGTACCATACCATCCCGTACCCTACTTCTTACTCCAACACCTCAATCATCCAAACAATCTACCCAGCCCAAAGGTAACCCAGCATCACCCTGCCAACCTAACCCTACTTTTCCCTCACCACGTTCGCGCAATCTCAGATCAAAGGAAATGTGACAGGGATATATCATGAAGAAAATGCACAAGGATCTGCCTGTGTGGTCGGGCATGTCATCTCCGGTCCTTTGGAGCGTATATCGGGTTACCTACTCCAGCCTATTTAGATCTACTTCGGTGGACTTGGGGCTTGGCACGGGTAGATTGGTTAATTTGAGGATACTGCGTGGGATGATTTGGGAGGGGTTGGGGATAATTTCGGGGGAAGGGATCGGTGGGTATGGGAATTTGGAAATGCGATTTTGGGGGGCATGGGGGATGGGGGATGGAGGATGAGGGATGGGGGTTTTTTGGTGTTGGTTTCGTTGGACGAGGGTCATTCGGCTGGGTCAAAAAGGTTATCTAGCTGGGCAACAAGAACGCAAGGTATTAAGAATTACAAAAAAGGCAGATTTGTAGAGAAGGTTCTTTTCTATAATTTGGGTCTTTAGGAATTTTAAAATCCTTGCTTTGTTGTTGCGCAAAATAGCTTTAAAAAGGTAGAGTGTCACCCAGCTAGATAGCTTTTCGACCTAGCCGAATAACCCTCGTTGTTTTGGTGATGGTGGTGGGTTTGCGATTTCGATTGCTGCTGTTTGGAGTGGTCGTTCTGCTAGCGTCGGTGTTGAATAGTGCTTGGTGGTTGGTTTGAGGCTGTTCAGGTAGTTGTGTTGCTTCGTCTCGGGGCGTAGATGAGAGTTGGGGTTTGTCAATTTGCGCTGGCATTGGTGTTAGTTGGTAGTTGAACTGTGAGGCTGTATCGATTGTTGCGCTGCTTCGTCTCGAGGACGTAGATAAGATCGCACGGTGGAAGAAATGCGCCTTTGGCTTCGTCTAGGGCATGATTAGGGTTTGGACTTTCTATTGAGGTTTTCCTTTGATCTATGGCGTGGATATTTGAGGGCTGGCATGTTGAGTTGGCCTGAGTCTTTGTCGCTGTAGCGAGTCGTTTACGGCCAATCACGATTTAGTTGGTATTGCTCTCGAATTGAAAACTCCTGACGCAGCTCTTCCTCCGTTAACAAGCTCCACCACGAAAAAGAGTAAGAATAATTCCGACCATAAGAACTTTTCGTTGGGTGCCGCATGCCTAGATCAGCCATGCGCTTCTCATCCCATATGGCAAATCCATATTTGCGCCAGCACTTAAACGGGTACACAAGCGTAAGCGGACCCCCATCTTCGTATCCTTCGAGTGAGGACATTCTGCACCAAAACATGTACCCCCATGGCCCTAAGTACTCGCAACTTGGATCCTGATGGAATATGTCCTTCTTACTATCGACGAAGAAGACCGGGTCGGCACAGTAACACCTAGACACTGCCCCTTCTTCCCAACGTATCGTTGGCAAACCAAAAGCGTTGTTCTTGACAGCTTCCACCGAAGCAATGGTCCCAGAGGTGACTGCGTCGAAAAAGTCGCTGGCGGTCAAAATCTGCTCCCGGTAGGACTTGTGCACGTCGTAAAAGCCATCCGCGCTGCTCTCGAACAACGCATCAATTTCCTCTCTCGGCCATATGGCGTCCAGGCGGCCCTTACGACCGGCGTCCTGGAGCTCCAGGAGAAACTGCAGTCGCCAAAACGATTCCATCATCCGCTTCTCCTCCACGTACGAAGGTGGGCCGGTCTCCTGTGGAATGTAGTCCTTTCGGCTCTCGGCGTTTCCGAAACGATCCTGGTTTCTCCAGCCAGCCCCCGTTTTGATGAGCGTGGAAGGCCTTAACTGCATAGATTTTCGTATCAAATGCTCAAGGCAGGCATGGGACCAGGCATGCACATTCGCGGCGCTGGCGAGCAAGCAACGTACTGCCGCGGCAGCTTGGTCTCGTCCAGACGAATGTATGTTTTCGGTGGCGAAAACCCAGTCAGCTTCAGCAATAGTTTGAGCCTCGGGCATGGATGCGAAGAAGTCTGAAAAGCGAGCTTTGAGGACCGCGTCCATCAGGCGACGCGTCTGCACGGGAACGGTAACCGTCATAACCTCCTCCACAATTTCGAGCGGATATCTGTCGAGCACTCTGCCCATAGCGGGCGACGCATGGGCCAGGTTTCGTAGTGAGAAAGGGTTCGGAGAGAGTTTGATTATCTGGAGCCTGAGCTCCTCGGGAAGTCGACCAAATGGGTCTTGTTGAGTGTTCTCTGTCATGGTTGTTTCCAGCACTCTCGGTATTGCTTTCAAGGGGAGGGTCTGGAGAGACGAAGGAGCCGTGGACTCGACAGAAATTATGTGCGCCTGCTCACTCTACTTCCTTCGCCTCGCGTACTAGCCTCATTCGGTCTCACGTGCACACGACTGTGCCGCTCAACCGCATACCTGAACAACACTTCGAAACATCCGTCTCGACGATGCCCAAGCCCCGCCCATTAGCACTGCCAGGTCGCCGGCTTCAGTCGGTCTTCGCGCCGGGGCTTCTTCGCAGCCATGCCTCTCTCCACGATTGTTCGTTTCTCCATTTCGAGACCTGCGCCTAGAATTATCAGCTTTCCTACTACGAGCATCGCCACGGGATTGAACGCTCATCGCAGTTTCCATGGGCGATTTGGCGCTACAGAGTTGCAGTCAAGTGCCTTGCGCAGACTTCGGTACGACTGCGATGTAAGATTATACCTTCGACAGCCCAGCCGACGACGAAGTCTCCATGTCTTTGTACCGGCCCCAGCTCCCGTGGTTCGGTCGCTCAACTTCTTTTCGTACTGGTATTACTACTTGCGCCTTCGGTAAGTCAGCCCATAGACCCGAGTTCGCCCACTCGAGCTGATCTTGCAGAGTTCTGCACCTATTATATGTCAGACAGGGCGATTTTCTCACCTCTGAACTACAACTCCATTACCCGAACCCAACACCAGCGGAACAGGAATGTTTGGAGTGTGCTTATACCGCTCTGCAGATACCTAGATCGTTCAGTATCCTGGCTTATTTCAATGGCTTGTCTTACACTATCTCACGTGCAGATATCATCCGAATCTCGGATGCATGTTTTGCCCTGCGACACGTCAAGTCCAGCATGCGGTCGTACCCATCGGATATCCTAACGCGGATCCACCCAACCGTTAGGGTAGTTCTGAGCAGCCTCGAGAGTGTACTGAGAATATTCCAAGACAACCTTGCGGTAAGAGGCGAACTCGCCGATGTTGCGCCTGAGGAGCTTCCCAGTCTGACCAAACAAACCCTGGAGATCGTGGTCGATTTTTCCGAGTTCTATATGGGAAGTAAAACGTGGCTGGCTGCGGAACTACCAGTTCATGATGCTACGAAGATAACTACAGCTCTGCATCGACATCTCAAAACGTGCGTTTGTTGGTTCAAATGGATGGAAGACATTGGAGCTCGAAGAGGCGGAATTCCGACACAAGAACGAAGAAGTTCCATATATGGAACCATCCGGGATGCTAGGGGGTGGCAGACGCGCTCTATAAAGGAGGGCCAGCAGGTACTCCGTCTCCTCGATAGATGTTCTTGTACGCCAGGAGTTGAACACGTTCGGGCTGAGGTCACTAAAATCGTGGATATGCACAAAAGACTCCTCGAGAATTATTGACAACCCCTGCATTCTTGCGCGAGAGCATAGAAACGCGATATACCTGAACGATTGCTGGGCTCGCGAGATATAGTACTTCAGTGGGGTTTCCGCAAAGTCGTCGGGCCGCTGAGGGTTGGAACCAGCGTATCTGAATAAATGTAGCAATGGGGAAGGGTCAAGTGGGCTGTTATCCTAGTGGGCGGGCGCGTCCTGGGTCTATGCTGGTATTGCATCGACAACAATGATGGAAACGATTGAGAGCCGATGCTTGCCGGCCGCATCTTATTTCTCATGGACCGAACGAGTCCGATATTGCAATGAAACGACTGTTAGTATAGACTGGTAGCGCCATCAATTGGATGAGCATCATGTCCTTACCTTTACGGTGTTCTTGAAACTTCTGAAGAAAAGTAGTGTAATGGCACGTGACGCTAGGAGGTGGAAAATCGGCACGAAATCGGTGCCTCCACATCCCGCGTCTCCGATGCCAATGCCGATTTTGATCCTTTCCATCTCTTCAGCCTCAATATTTGCATGGCAGTCATACATCTGGTATGCATGTGATAGTCATCTCGCCATTCTTCCTCCTTCAAGCGACCTCGGGATGCAGGATCTCGTCGCGTATCGTGGTAACGCATAGACACACGAGATTCGGCGTTGTTTCCCGCCAATCTCGTCACGGTTGCACCTGAACAACGGGGACGCCGCGTCGGAGGATCCATCGAAGGAACACGATGGCAAGTGTGTCATGTCGCGAATCCGAGGATCCTGCACCGATACATATACATAGCATTGTTGTTGACCTTGCCGATTAGTCGGGATCCCAGCACAAGAGATGAGACAGAATCCTGCGCCGATCGATTGCGATTAGCGCGACACCCAAAGAAGAACGACGAGATGAATCAGCGAGTCATCTGGCGTCGGAGGCTAACGATTGGCCCGGAAATTTCACCCTGGCCGTGTTTGAAGATCTGTGGCGGCCGTCCCTGTGTGCAGGATTAAACTGGTGATGATATCAATGGCCAGTGCTCTTTGCGAAGGATTCCGCAGGGGGATGCGCATTCAGCCAATCTTTGCGTTTGCTTCAGAACCTTACGATTATTGCGGCTGGCTACTTGCGAGTACCTCAGCCTCGAACCTGCGTTCGTCGTGCTCGGCAGACGGCAGATATTGACATGTCACTCCTGGTACCCTTGTACATATACTGGAGTCAGGGGCGATGAGGCGTAACAACCCGAAAAGTCCACACTGCCACGGGACGCGGGATGGAAGCGTCGAAGCAAAGAAGGGCCTCACCTTCCATCCTTTTGGAAGAACAAGTACAGCAAGAGGTAACGGGGTGGTGTATGGAAGCCGGGTACCGCACACATGGACGGTCTAAAAGCAACACCAGCGCTCACCGCCGTGGAACCTTCTCTCGCGCGCCGTACGCGCAGCCCGTGGCGCGATCCCTCAGGCCAGAAATCCGGCGTCCAGAAAGCGTTTCTCCCAGCGGTACCCCTGCGTAAAGTTTGGGCGAGGACCTGTCAAATGCAAGCATCCGCAAATCGCAGTTCGCTTATCAGCTAGCGTTGAGCCTCCAACACGTCTCCACCTGCGTTAGTCTTGCGTGGACGGCATGAACCCAGCTTGGCAACGGCCCTGAATCGTCAACCGTAGCCTCGTGGGAGAAGGCGGCAGACGGTATCCTGTCAGTCATTAGGGCTTGCGTTCCCGCCCTGCGGCGTGGGTCGTTCGCCAACCTTATAGTTTCTGCATCTTCCAAAGCAGCGCCGGCGCTGGCGTTCCACTTTACTCAGGTACGACGTTCTTCACGATGTCGACATGGGAGCAAATGTACACCGATATGGTGCTGCATGCACCGGATCCAGATGAGGAGCTGCCCTTGTCGAATCGCAGGGCGACGATGTTCGGCACTACGCTCACTTTCTTGGTACGATGTCGTGATATATCTCGATGTATCATCCGCTAACCTCACAGATAGATCATAGCATGGTTTGCGGTTTTCTTTCGTCTGTATGTCCGCATCAGAGTCGTCAAGGAATTGGGCTGGGATGATGCGTTTGTGTTCCTTGCTCAGGTACGTTCATTGTTGACAGATTATACGCGTTTGACATGAAGCTAACTTAATCTAGTCGTTGAACACGGCAGCCACCGTCGTAATGTGTCTTTGTAGGTGGTCTACCATGCTTGCGGTATGATCTCGACTAATCTGAGTAGCTGTCAAGCAGGGACTGGGTGAGCACATGTTGTACATTGGCTACAACCGTCTAGTAGAATATCTGAGGGTATGCTTGTTCCTCAACTGGATGGTGCCACTTGCTAACCAAACCAGTTGTACTACTTCGAAATGGCCATATACGTCACCAACTGCGGCGTCATCAAGATTGCTCTCTTGCTCCAGTACCTCCGCATTTTCAAGGCTGGACTCATGCGATGGATTTGCATTGGCCTCCTCGTCGCTGTGACTCTTTGGGGTATCGCCTTTTCGATCACCGCATGGTTTCCTTGCTTTCCAGTGCGAGGGTACTGGGACCGCACAGTATCTGCGAATTGCTACGGCTTCGGACTCGGAGACCTTGATAGCTTCATCGCTACGTACAAAGCACAAGCGGCCACCAACATGTTGTTCGATATCTCCATTTTCATTGCGCCAATGGTGTTGTTCAGAACACCAAACCTGCGATCCAAGAACGTGTTCGCAATGGCTGGCGTGTTCACCTTTGGAGCTATGTAAGTCGCTCATGCCACCCGGCCCAAGCATTCCATACTAACATGATCATAGCGTTGTCGGGACATCAGTCTGGCGACTCCACGGCATCGTCGAAACCAAAGGCGCAACCTATCCCTACGTCGACTACACCTGGTGGTCGCCAACTCTCATCATCCTCACCTGCCTCGAAATCGACCTCGCCATCATCTGCGCCTCCATGCCCATTTTCTGGCCCATCATCGAGAAGTCGCTCAGCGCCATCTTCGTCAGCTACGAAGTCCAGGTTGTGGAGGAGCGCGTCGACGACTACGGTCTTACCTACGAGCTGGAGCACATGAAGGGGGATGACAGGCCATGCAGCATAAAGAGCAGCGGGACGAGCACACAAGAGTTGACGAATGACGATGAAGAGTCACATCCGAGGAGACCACAATTCACGGTGGGCTTTGATCCGCTGAGTGAGGAACAAAGAAACAACGGGTTGAGTACGAATGTTCAGTCGACAGCTCAGTCGAAATGGCAGCTCTAGATGGTCATGCATATACATCTCAAACCCAATAAAAACACATGCAAACAATCACGTAGTCGCAACACGCATACTGATCGTAATAGCAATGGAACTGACACTATCTTCTCAGGAAAACCTCCCTCTACTCACACCAATACCCACGCATCACAACCCTACGTCATCCCAACTCCCCTTCGGCCCGCCATCCACTTCACCTCACCTCCCGCACACCTATGCACTTGCCTCAAGGAACCTCCCTGCGACTACCACCTCACCCCACAGCCTTGAAACACAAAACCACCGAAGACATCTCTTCGGCCTCATGTGTACGTACAGTATTACCACCCTGTCCACCCCACGCAGCTGTTACGGCCGAACAAAGGTAACACTACTGTCATTGAATCGCAAAGCGCGATGTCAATGTCACAAAGGTACCACCGGGCACAGCGACACTAGTCGCGCGTCTAGATCCGTCTGTGTCGCACGCTACATCCCGGTGTAACTAATCTGGGCAGTCCATCTCCGTGGGGGCGCTGCTGTGATAGCTGCGCCAGCCTGCCAGGCACAGTGCAGTCAAAAAATTCTCCGGGCCTTTAGTGGAGAGTTGCTTGATTGCGCGCAGTTGTGCATGAGTAGAACGTGGTCATGTGGGTGATGGGGATTACGGGGGCTGGGGGCTGGATTGCCGGGGATGTGATGCGTGTTGCATGTGAGGTTGAAGGTCCGAAAAGATGGCCATGGATAAGAGTAGTGCGTTGCGTGAGACGGGAGGGGAAGGGTGGAAGGTGGGAAAGTATGGCGGTAAGCTGGGAATTGCGCTTCGGGGAGGTGAAGTCGGTCCGATCGGAGGTTTATCGATAATGAGATGTTGATTGATGGATGGGCGATCTGGTGTGACGCGCAGAGCTTCAGCTGAGATGGAGAGGTGGGTGGGGAGAAGGTGTGGCGAGATTTTTTGGGTGTTGGAGAGAGTGGTGTCGGGAATAGTGAGAGGGTGCATAGGTGGATGGTGATGGTGTGCAAGATTTGCCGAACTATACTTCTTTTTATGTTGTTGACCTCGCCATCGTCTACGGGTATTGGCCCTTCGCTATTTGTAGTCTTCAGTGTCGCAGCCTTCAAGTCCAAAAATCTCTGGATCTTGAATCATCTGTTTCTCGTCTCATTTCCCGGAAGGTCTGCCCACACGTTCGAAAACTCTCCACAACATGAGCGTGTACTTCGAAGATCTCTACAGCTCCATTATCCTCAAAGATATTGGCTGAACATTCCCCTGGACCTACGCTGATCTTCACATGAAGAACTCAACCACTTCCCAAAATCACCACCACACATTACCCCGAAACCCAAACGTCGACGTTAGAGCAGGCTGCCTTAGGCGAGCACTTTCCGGTGCGATATTCATATCCAGGACCAGTCAAACGTTAGTGCATTGCGCCGTTGAGAAGCTAGTGGTTAAATGGGTGTGTAGTGGTTTGAAGAGACGATGGTTTTAGCTTTCGTTGCTTTTACCACGTGCAGCCCTGAACTTGCTTTTTGCTGATCTTGATGTGCATCACCCGCACTCCCGGCAAATGTGAAATGGCGAAGCTTATTTGCCGCATGGCGCGTTGTGGCGTGCACACCTCAGGTAGCTCTAGTCTCTAGGCCAGCTGGCGTGTTCCCGTGGAGAGGGATGCGCGCGGGGGTGTCGGGTAGTAGTGGCATGCGTACTGCATCATGAGGCGTCCTGTCGCGTTCTCGCGCCAATCAGTTAATGAGTTATCAAAACGACATCGAGGTGAGGCGAGTGTGTTAGTATAGTAGTGCTTGCTGTTATGGCCGACGCGTCCACAGAGGCACGTCAGCCTAGGCAAACACAGAACACCCAAGAGCCTACATCAGCTTTAAGTTAACTACCTTGCAGGTTTTTCTCTTGATGTAGTCTGCAGACCTGTTCAGTCTTTTGCTTTGTATGAGGTGGCGCTGAAGATTAGCTGTTTTGACGAAACACGTGAGAGACGCGTCTTAGCGCGAGCGGATTGGAAGCGGGGATCACCACTCCTGACGTCTTCTTTCCACATCGCGACGCGTCGCCAATGTCATGACGCCACCCGCGAACGCGAACGAACGAGTCGTCATAGCCGAATCTGGGGATGTATTGCTCACCCTACGCAACCCGGGTGCGCCCTTCGCTGTTTGGGAACGTGAAGCCGAAGATGGCGATGCAGCCAATAAGTCTGTCATCAAAGAAGAGGGCAAGGAAGATGAGGATGCAGACCAGGATTTGAAGGCAGAAGGCCCGCCACAGAAGAAGAGAAGGATGGCAGAAAGATCGAGGCAGGGAGCAGAAATTCAAGACGATTTAGGGGACGATCCAGAACGCCCTTGCTTTGTGTATCAGGTCTCGTCTCAACACCTAATCACAGCTTCGCCAAAGTTCAAAAGCGAGATTATGTCTTGGAGCGAAAACAACAAAGCAGACGATGGGTTTTACTACATGGAAACCGCAGACTGGGACTCAGAAGCATTTGCTATACTTTTGAACATGCTTCATCTCCGCTTCCGCCAAGTGCCCAAAGAGCTGAGTCTGGAGTTGCTCGCCAAAGTCGCCATGCTAGTGGACTACTACCAATGCTGGGAAGCGTTCGATCTGATCGCTAATTTATGGGTCACGAACGCTCAGAGGAAGCACCGAGTACCATACACATATGGTCGCGAGCTCATGATGTGGATGCTCGTCTCCTGGGTCTTCAAGTTGGACACGGTATTTGACAGTACCACCAACGTAGCGCTGCGGAAAAACAACCGGCCGAAGATCCAACATATGGAATTGAGCATTCCACCAGCTGTTCTTCGTATGTTGTGCGTCGTAGTTCTTTGCAGCCTATCGACTAACTCGAGTAGAAGCCTTAGAATCTCGACGTACAGAGGCGATTGCGGAGATGATAGAAGTTTGTCACAAGTGGATTGACAAGTATTGCGATGCAGACTCATGTACTCCTGCACATGGGGCTCGTCAGCCCTTTGAGTGTAGCTCTATGCTGCTTGGTGCGCTTATGAAGCAACTGAAGCCCATCGGTATCATCTCTCCACGACCGACGGCCCCATTCGACGGCTTAAGCATCGCCAGCTTGCGCGAGCAGTTGGTGGGGATGAGGTCACCGACTTGGTATACACGGGACACTCGCACTTCCCATATATGTACGCTTGCTTTGACGGTGGCCGAAGATATACTTGATGTTTCAATCAAATTCAATAAGGGGCTCAAGCGAAGTGACTTCGTGGATCGCGATGAGGTTGAGACGGAGTAGACGCTCGATCACAACAACGATCAAAACATCTGGGCTTACTCACTACATTTACAAGCGACCTGTTATCGATACCAGTGGTAGCTACAGCCTATGTCGCATTCTTCGAAAAATATATTAGGGCAGGAGCCTACATCATCTTCTAATCTGTGTGTTTGTTAAGTTATGGTACTATGTATACCGCAGGCTGTGGCACCACTATCAGCCCCAGAACTTGAGCTGTAGTCAACCAAGCTAGTGTAGTCAATATAGCAATCGATACTTTCACAAGTACACCGTTCGAATCCCCGAGTTATTCTCACCCGTCGTTAGGCCGCGCACCGTATCGGCTTGAGTGTATACCGCGAGCATCTCAAAAAACGTGCATGATTCTCTCTCTCGAAGGATATGTTATGGCGCACTGTCGGTACTCCATCAGAATGTGGCTGTTAGGACTGCGCGTTGTTCACCCGCGCCCGAAGTTATTTTAATGAACCTACCTGGAGAGTCAAGACAAGCTTCTGCATCCTATAATTGACTCCGAACGCCCTCGTGGTAGTTGTGATCGTACCTATTATTTTTTTTTTATTATTATTCAGAGTCCTAAGCTTTCACTCTTACGAGTATGCTGCTATCCTGTTTTCATCCCGTGTGTTTACAGCCGTAATTAGTACTTTACCGTGTACTTTTGATCAATGAATATGCAGTAAGAAGTGATCGTACCTATATCGACACGAGATGCGCGGTCGGCGCTTACCTCGGTGTGGGTAGAGACTAATTGACCCTTCCAAGGTTGGGATCGGTATCATGAACAATGTCGCTATGAATAGCCCTAGGGACTCTCGCGGGCTGGTATTGCCTTTGAGCTGTGAAGTCGTCAGAGAAGTTCAAGGTTGAGTCTAAAAGCCTAAAACGGCAAGACGAATACGGCCTGTCTTCACCTTCACTTTCACTTGCGCGTCGTAACGGAGCGAGACGCGCCGAGCTCCGCCTAAGCGATATATCGAACAAACTCCTCCTCTTCTTGTCCCGAGGTCTTTTCCGAACGACGCAAACCGTCGCCGGACACTACAAAAACATGGCGACCGAAGAGATTACATCTTCAAACGCGGTGCTTCTGCCCAGGTATGTCCTTCTTGGTATAGAACGACACATCACTAACTTCTGCACAGCACCGCGGTGATCTCGCCCACTGTCATCGTCAAGATCGGTACGGAGGGCAAAGAGTACATCCTCCACACCGAACTCCTCAAGCACCACTCTGGTTACTTCCGTGGAGCACTTTCCGGCGCATTCAAAGAAACCGACGACGGCGTTATACCCATTACCGATATCGAAACCGACGCATTCGACACCTTCGTCGATTGGATCTACCGCGGCACCGTAAACACAGAGCCGCAATCACCTTCCAACGTTCTAAGTCGCAGCTACATCTTAGCAGATCGACTAATCATGCCCGGTTTGAAGTCTGCGCTTATGGATCATTATTACCATCGGTACACTGGACGTAAGCGAATCAGACCATCTTGCGGTATGATTATCAGACTTTGCAATAACTTGCCCAAGGAAGATCCATTACTCCGACTCTGTCTCGATATATGGTCCGCGCAAAAGGCAATCTATAAGTTGGAAGAAGGAGAAAAGGCTGAACTGTCGAACCTGCCACATGAGTTTCTCGTTCGTTTAATGTTACGAATGCAGGAACTAGGCGAGAAGCCAACTGCAGTACAAACTTTTATGCGGGAAGATTACAACGAGCGTGTAAGGACTGATGGATAGAAGAATGGCTCATGTTTTATTTTGGAGGGCCAATGGACAGAGTTCTGGCGGGCGTGCTTCTACCGACTGTGGTTCTGCACGTCCGAGCTCTATCACGTCATAACGCTCGTTGCTTCAAAGGGCCAGCATGTACTGTCTCACCCTTCAATTCTCACTTACTCGGTGGTCTCCAAATGATAAGTCTGGCTGAGCTCCTCGACTGTGCTTTGCGATCGATGACCGTGTAGGTGAAGTTGAACAGTAAGAAGAAGCCTTGACAGGAAGGATCCCAAGTGAGAGCAGGATGTCTCTCACCTGTCACAATCCGCTGGCGATCTTGATATAAGTAGTAGGAAGTCCTATAGATCTGCTTCAAACCTCTTCCCCCCACACCACGTCCTCATTGTCTCATCCAACTTGTGTGCGCTGAATTACATCAACATCAGAACAATAGACGTCACATCAAGACCATTACCATGGAGAAGACCGAAGCACCTCGCGCAAGGTAAGTCACTGGCTGCGAACTTTGCAAATACAAAGTATGTTACTCATTCTACATAGCGCCGCTGCAGCATCAAAGACTGTCATCGTCATGGTCGGACCCGAAGAGAAGTATTACACCCTACACAAGCAGCTCTTGACGTACTATTCTGGATACTTTCGTCGCGCATTCGTCAAAGAACGCAGTAACTGGCACCTGGACACCGTGTCAGTTGAGGGGTTCAACGTCTTCGTTGATTGGATATACGAGACGAGGCTGCGCCCGTCGGTCAACACGGATGAAGATGAGACGTCATGCATGCTCAGTGCCTACCTGGTAGCAACAGAACTGTCAGTTGGATCGCTAAAGACGGCAATCTTGGACTGGATGTTCCTTGATCTCTCGGACAGCTATCTCAGTGTGTCAGCTGTTCAACGGTGCTTCGACGTATTGCCAAACAACGATCCTCTACTCCAGCTCATTGTCGACGCATTCTGCATCAACGATGGCGTGGGCACCATGGGCGTCGAGGATTTCGCAACGATCGATGACCTGCCAAAGCAGTATCTGGCTCGTGTCCTCCGAAAGCTGCACCAGCTGACAGAGCTGCCCGATGAGGACCGAGTTCTTGCGCGCGAAGACTACAGCATGGTGGTATCGCTGAACTACAAGGTTGCGGAAGAAGTGTCACAGTCTAAAGTCTGGGGAGAAGCACCACAGTACAAAGGTTGGGGAGAAGTGGCACAGTCCAAAGGCTGGGACGAAGTACCAGATTCCAAGGATTGGGGCGGAGTGTCGGACTCCAAAGGCTGGGATCTGACTGAAGAGGAAGTATGACACTAAGACGGGCTTGTACTTAATCCCAACTCTAGGACATGAGAAAGGGCAGCTCGAGAGCTACCTGAGTACACGACTTTGAGTGGCCCCTTTGGCGAAACAAAAGACCAGGTAGACTATGGGAAAAGACGTGGTTTCTTTAAGAACAATGAAAGCCAAATTTCAAAACCTTTGTGGTGAAAGGCGTTGACAATGCCGTGAATGAGTGGAACAAAGGTGTCGGTCGTGAGTCTGACGCAACTTCGCAGCTGGCCCGTGCTTACATAAGTGAGGCTCCGCTGCCTTGTTAGCGTCGCGCTACGAGCTTCCCCAGCGCCATTCGTCATTTCGTATGAGCAACATTACCTTCACCTCCGCCAGCTGCCTTTCAGCCTACACACCCTCCACCAGTCATTTACACGTCGTCGCAATCTGTGATTGATCTTATCGCAACAAAACGGAAATTGAACCGCCCAACGGTCGCAATCTAATTACCATTCACGCCCCCGGAACATTCACGTTAGCCCGGTAAGTCATGGACGGCCCGTTAAATGCTCTCATTTACTGACGTGGCTCCTAGACTTTCAACTACACCCAAATCACCATGTCCGACGCCGAGGTTATCGAACAGAAGCGCGAGGAGGATGAGCGCCTCGATACCGCCGAAGACCCCAACGAAGAGGTACGATACCATCCACCACAGCGCGCGCGTTAGACTTGTCGAGGATAGCGGGCGGCTGTCGCGCATACAAGTCGCGATATAGAAGAGCATGCTGACAGTGCAATGCAGGAAGAGATCTCAGCAATGAGGCGACGCGTACAAGAGATGGAGGAAGAAGCCCAGAAGCTGCGCCAAATGCAGAGCGAGACGGACCTAGAACGCCACGAGATGCGCGAGAGCAAAGAAGACGTCGACGCGCGCAGTGTCTTTGTCGGTAACGTCGACTACGGCGCTTCCCCCGAAGAAATCCAGGCACACTTCCAGAGCATCGGAAGCATTAACCGTGTGACCATATTGCTCGACAAGTTCACAGGTCATCCCAAAGGGTCAGTACTAAGAGGAGGTTTTCCTTGAACGATTTGCGCATTTCCAAATTTTTTATTTGCTTTCATGCATCAACAACTATGCGCGCGTACAGTCGCGTGAATGTTGTTGGGGCTACAGTTGGGCGAAAGTATATTTCGCTACCTGGCAAGAGTTTGGCAGAAAGATCGGAACGCTAATGAGCGTATGCAGGTATGCGTATGTGGAGTTCACAGAACCGCATCTGGTCAATGAGGCCTTGGTCCTTGACAACAGCCAGTTCCGCAGCCGGAATCTAAAGGTATGAGATACAGAACATGCACCATCGAATGCGCGAACGCAAGCTGACATACGTATAGGTCGTCCCCAAGCGAACGAACCTTCCCGGTATGACACGAGGCGGACGCGGCGGCCGAGGCGGTCCTCGAGGCGGATACGGCGGACGCGGCTCACCATACGGCGGCCGTGGTGGCTACGGTGGCGGCTACGGCGGCGGCGGCGGCGCTCCACGAGGAGGCGGTTACCGTGGTGGATACCGTGGCGGGCGAGGCGGATCGGCATACCGCCCATACTAAGCCTGTGACACGACAACACCGGCACGCGCTATACCACCAGACCTAGGTCGCCGTTTCTGTATTGCTATATTGGGGTTCTCGAGGCAAGGGTGAAACAAAGGAAACAAAGGACACAAAATTGGATTGGGGAGTCGCGGTGACTATCTGTAAGATCCGAGGCTTGTACTATTAGGATGATTTGTTGGACACATGTCGTGAGGATGCGGCGGAAGGGCTGCTGGACTTCTTATCAACCGGGTTTTCTGAGGGACCGGGATGGGTTTAATATATGTTTTCTTTGCTTCGTTGCGTGCAGCCCTTCATCTCGTGTGTTTGTTGCTTCGGCGGGATCAACGCATCATACTGAGTATGTTCACAGCTACTATTATGGCTTCGTGTAGCCGATCACATGAATATCAAACTGGGATACAACAAAGATGAATCAATCGTGTATATTACTCCATGCGCAAAATGCCAGGAGACGGAGAAGAAAAGTCAGGTATCATAGCCACATGCGGCTTTTCTCCCACCATCTAAGCACCCATACAATGCTTGGGACCTCGCCCAAACGCCAGGATCCGTATCTCATCAAAAGGACGTTTCCATACTAAGCGCGCCTCAGCCAAGAAGTCAAGGCAAAGAAAGAAAGAAAATGCAAGAGCACATCGACCTCGTCTGGCCAGTATCCGCCGCAGCTGAGTGAAATCAGCTTGACCGCTGCGTAACACCTCATGAAGGCCTGACCACACCATCCCGTACCCAACCCCCATAACGGCCCTCACGAACCGTTCGTCACATATAACCAAAAGGCATCCTCACCCCACGGTACACCACCTCTCCCCCCCTCTCATCCCCGACAATATGTAGCCCTTCCCCTGGCGCACTGACAACGTACTACGGCGCCGGGTTCTCCTTGACAATCTGCTTGACCTTGCGCTCGTACGCCGCCTTGTCCTTTTTGAACAGGTTGAACGCGTCGGCTTGCGCTGGGCTCTCTGGGTTGGGTTCGTCGAGAAGCGATTGGATGCCTAACAGGATCTCTTTGATGTTGATGGCGGGCTTCCAGCCTTCTTCTTCGTTGAGGATGGAGAGGCAGACGGTGCCCGAGGGGTAGACGTTTGGGTGGAAGAGGGGTGGGACGAATTTGCCTGTGAGCGGAGTTAGCGGATGTTGGGTAGATAGGTTTGGGAGTTTAGCGGAGGAGGATCGGGCGTGGGCTGAGAGGATGTGGTGGGGACGTACACTTTGGTGGCTTTGTTGGGTATTCATCTGGGAATGCGACTTCGAGCTTGAACAGACCGCCTTCCCATATCGTTTTTTCTTTGCCTGGTATGCCGCATTCCCATCGCTTCAGGTCCATCATGCCGTTGGAGCCGCGCATGGGCTTTGCGAAGAAACCGAAGGGGTGGTCTCGTCGCCATGACTTTCTGGCTGCTGCGTTAGCGGAGATCATGTGCGCTGGGGAAGAAGAGCGCGTACCTCTCTTCCGAGAGCCTGTTGACGCAAAGAGACATGGTGTCGGTGTAGGTATAAGGCTGGCCGTTGCGCCTCTAGCTCGTCCTCTGGATTTCCGTACTGAGATACCGGCAGCGCGTGCGGTAAAGATAGCGAGAAAACTGCAAAGACGGCGTCTTATATATCGCGAGCTTGAGCGTGTGGCGTCGCGCTTGTCGACGTGCTACGATTGGGGTAAAGGTGAGGATTGCAGACGGTAAGAGGACCAGGTGAAGTCGAGTTACGGTTGCACGTGACCTGAACAACAATTATCGGGCGCCGCAGCGTTGGGATTCGGGGCTAGATCCCGTCGCGCGAAGGTGGAAGGTGCGATGCGCGATCTGCCCCGCGCTAGGGCTTGGCGCCGGTGCCTGCCCCGCTTATGTGATCCAATGCCTATGTGCGGGCCG